TTTTTCATTTGTTACTGGAATTGATCTATGGAAAGTTGTACATTTAAAAAATTGTTATCTATAAAGTGGTATGTGATGCATACTTATGATTTATATGTCAAGAAAAATGTAACGTTGGAGCAATCTTTAGCTAAAATGAATTATTTCTATCAAGTTTAATAACTAGAGGGTAAAATCAAAAAGTTATAGTATTTAAAAATGAAAACAAAAGTATGTAGAAATTGACAGGTTTAGAAAATACAAGTTCAAACAGTCATTCTGCCTAATAAAATAATTTTAATTTGGAAATATCATATTGCCTTTAGTTAGCGTAAAACGTGAAATAAATATCTACAGTATGAATACATTAAGTTCATACAAAAAAGGCATTTTCAAGACTATGTATTTGTTAAGTAGTGTATGAATACCCCTATATGTAAAATATATTAAAATTCTCAACGATAAACGTTGTATAATATACAATTAAATTTTTATTTAAAGAAACCGATCAAAGGTCGTAAAAAGTATTTCTATATGTTTCGACGACTTTCACGTCATCTTCAGAAGTGTGAAAAACAAATGCTTTACAGCATATAGATACAAAAAAAAAATCCATGGTCATGTGACTACTAGTTTTCATATTTAAAAAATAGGTCACGCCATCTAATTATTTTCTGATTTTTAACCATTCATCCTAATTTAAGATGAAATTATTTTTAATCTGCTTCGTTAATTCTATAGTTTCTCTAATATTTCTAGCCGTAATATTATTCGATTGAACCAAAATAACAGTTTTCCCCACTGGATAAACTAGTATATGGATAATTTTATGTGTAAACCATGAATTATGCTATACATCTAGTCAAACTGTAATACATAAAATATTGTTACATATTAGAATATTTTGTCTATTGTTAAATAAATGGATAATGAAGTAATTGAGTAAATAAATTGACCATAATGATAATGTAGAACCAATATCATGTCAGAAAATATTGCAATCAAGGTAAAAAAAAAAAGTTGAATATTGCGTATTTACAGGTTGGGACACATCATACCCAGAAGGATTATACATAACTATCAGCCTCTTAGTAACACATTTTGGTACTATCTACCCCTAGTGGTATATTTTTCAACTATCTGCCTCCTGGTGCCACACTTTGGAAGTATCCGCACCTGATGGTACTATGTGGAATTATACGCCTATGATGTCACAGATCACGCGATCACCATTCCTTTCCTCCTCCTCCCCTCTTGGCCGCCATTTTGCAAACGATCCGGGAACTTCTACTAATGGCCTTCTCTAGACATTTTATATCTGTAATATAAACTTCTAGATAAATATATTAAAGTATTTCATGTAATTTGTAAAAACAAAATTCAATCAGTATTGCAGTACTATAGTCAAGGACAGTAAATATTATACCAATCAACGGTCAATAAATACGTGACCAACTATGTCTTTCACACTTAAACTAGTAATGTAGTATTATAGTAACAACTGTTACATATTAGTATTTCGAATAGTCCAAAGCCGAGTTAACTGATAATTTAAATTTAGTAGTTAAGTTGTACTTTGGATTTAGTATTTAAATATATATGCCGAAATATTATTCAATTTACGATATTTGCCAACAAGATTGATACACACGGTCTTCGTTTTTAACACAAATACGTTTTAATATACACA